ATCCCGACACCATCTTCAGTGTATGCCCCGAGCTATCCCGATACCATCTTCAGTGTATGCCCCGAGCTATCCCGATACCATCTTCAGTGTATGCCCGAGCTATCCCGATACCATCTTCAGTGTATGCCCCGAGCTATCCCGATACTATCTTCAGTGTATGCCCCGAGCTATCCCGACACCATCTCTCTGAGCCGATCAGTGTCCATCGCCTTCACTGTGCAGAGCCCCCTGCCCGGGCACTGCCGTCCGCCCGCTCACCGGAGCTGTCCAGGGCCGGCCCGCTGTCGACGCTGCCTCCTCTCCCGGCGACGAGCAGAACGGCGGCCCCCAGCCTTTGTCGCAGTGGCAGTGGCCGAGCGAGTTACACACGCCGTTCCCGCTACAGCCGTCCGCACAGAAGCCGTCCGTCACGGAAGCGACGGCCACACACCGCTGCTCCACACACATCTGGAGACGGGCACGCGGAGTTAGAGGTGGCGGCCACACACCGCTGCTCCACACGCATCTGGAGACGGGCACACGGAGTCAGAGGTGGCGGCCACACACCGCTGCTCCACACACATCTGGAGACGGGAACATAGAGTCAGAGGTGGCGGCCACACACCGCTGCTCCACACACATCTGGAGACGGGAACATAGAGTCAGAGGTGGCGGCCACACACCGCTGCTCCACACGCATCTGGAGACGGGCACACGGAGTCAGAGGTGGCGGCCACACACCGCTGCTCCACACACATCTGGAGACGGGAACATAGAGTCAGAGGTGGCGGCCACACACCGCTGCTCCACACACATCTGGAGACGGGAACATAGAGTCAGAGGTGACGGCCACACACCGCTGCTCCACACACATCTGGAGACGGGCACACGGAGTCAGAGGTGGCGGCCACACACCGCTGCTCCACACACATCTGGAGACGGGCACACGGAGTCAGAGGTGGCGGCCACACACCGCTGCTCCACACACATCTGGAGACGGGCACACGGAGTCAGAGGTGGCGGCCACACGCTGCTGCTCCACGCACATCTGGAGACGGGAACATAGAGTCAGAGGTGGCGGTCACAAGCAGCTGCTCCACACACACCTACAGATGGGTGCTTGGTCACTGAGGTGGCAGTTACACACTGCTCACAGAGGTGACAGTCACAGACCGCTCAGAGGCGCTGGCTATTTACCACTGCTCCATGCACATGTGAAGCCGGATACAAGCATTGTCGCAGGGGCGAGACTCACACAACACCGCCACACACCTTCTCCCTGCGGTCATAGTCTCTGACAGGGGTGACGGCCACACAACACCTGACAGCTTCCCCTCCGATCATAGTCCCCGACTTGGGTGACGGCTACACAACACCAGACAGCTTCCCCCGCGATCATAGTCCCCGACAGGGGTGACGGTCACACAACACCTGACAGCTTCCCCGCGATCATAGTCCCCGACAGGGGTGACGGTTACACAACTCCAGACACCTTCTCCCCGCAACCATAGTCCCTGAATGGAGCTGATTTCCACGGCACGGGCCTGGCCTCCCGGAGTCTGCGCCTGATAACGCCTCCCTCCGACCCCGACACTAGAGTCCGAGCCTCCGGCTGCGTGGGCTCACCTTCCTGTGTCCGCAGGGCGCGCCGTTCGGCACCAGTCCGGGGTCGCGCTCCCGCAGGCCCAGGTCAATCACAGCCGTGCGGCAGGGCAGCTCCTTGCCGCCGATGTTGATGAACGTGGCGGAGATGATGGCGGCCGACTCCAGGCCGAACTGCAGCCGGTCGTTCAGGTGCGCGCAGTGCAGCATGCCGCACATCACGTCCCTGGCAGCCGGCGCAAGGCGTCAGTGCTGTCACCCATGCCCATCTGGAGGAGCCCCGCGCGCTTGATGTCCGTTTCCTTCGACGGGTTTTGCTTCCGGGGCGGGCTCGAATGGATGTAATGAAAATATCACGCCGACTTCCGAACTCCAGCCAGAGGCACGATGTTTTAAAAATAATAATAAATAAGTTTTGTACATTTGCTTCTACCGATGTTTTCACTCTTTGTCTTTATTTAGCTTTTTATGACCCTTAGCTGTTTTACAGCAGAAGACCAACCGTACATTGAAAAAGCTACCAACCAGGGCTGACCCGTCTCTGGTAAAATGGACGAACGAGGTTAGGTCGCTGTGATTTGGGTCAAAACATCACCAGATCGCTAACTACCCACGTCCGTTTTCACATCGTTAGAATATCACTGGCTGACATCGAGAACGATCGCATCGCCGCCATGAACGATATCAAATGTGTAGCACGTCTGCGCACGGTATGTGCTGGAAGTACCGGGTGGCACAAGGCACTTCACCATGCTGAAAATGACAAACCCATCACTAAAACGGCCTTTCCAGGACGCATGTACGTAACATGGAGAAACTGCACCACGAAGCCTCTTACGCAACCGAGCAGGTCGTTGAACAGAATGACTCATAAAATTCCCGAATTTGTGGCCGTCACGCTTATCTTGCGCACACGGCTGAAAAAAGATACATTCCTACTTTACACGCAAGCAGCACGACTCGACACGAAGCGGACATTCACAACGCATCCCGTGCCTTGCTTTCGTCCGTCCACTAGTTCCAGTGACGGCGAGTCCACCGCCCGAAGAGTCACGCCCACAGCACCGCACACCACCACAGCGCGCCCACCTGCTGACCCTCAGTCTCCAACGACCCCGCCAATTACAGCAGCCACAGAACTCACTCAGTCTAGCAGCGCTGGTCTACCCCGCCTATTATAGCAGCCCCGGAACTCACTTAGTCTGGCAGTGCTGGTCTACCACGCCTATCGCAGCAGCCCCGGAGCTCACTCAGTCTGGCAGTGCTGGTCGACCCTGCCCATTACAGCAGCCCCGGAACTCAGTCTGGCAGTGCTGGTCCACCCTGCCCATTGCAGCAGCCCCGGAACTCACTCAGTCTGGCAGTGCTGGTCCACCCTGCCCATTGCAGCAGCCCCGGAACTCACTCAGTCTGGCAGTGCTGGTCGACCCTGCCCATTGCAGCAGCCCCGGAACTCACTCAGTCTGGCAGTGCTGGTCGACCCTGCCCATTACAGCAGCCCCGGAACTCACTCAGTCTGGCAGCGCTGGTCGACCCTGCCCATTGCAGCAGCCCCGGAACTCACTCAGTCTGGCAGCGCTGGTCGACCCTGCCCATTACAGCAGCCGCGGAACTCACTCAGTCTGGCAGCGCTGGTACGTCTGGTTGAGGCGGTCGAACCCGCAGTTGCCCAGTCGGTTGCCCTTGGAGTTCTGGTCGTAGCAGTTGTCGACCGAGTTCTTGCCGCTGGGGCCCCACAAAATGCGACACTGGTCCTCGCGCGTGCGACACACGCCGTCGTAGCAGTACGACTGCAACGTGAGCGCATGCCATGTCCGTGACTCGGCGAGGCGGTCCACGGCAGACCAGCGAGAGACGAGAACGGTCGCCGAGCCGGCGTTCAGGCGCAGCCACAGGCGGACGCTGCCGGCGCGTGGCCGGCCGGATCCCCGGTCCGGTCTCATCCCGGCGGGAGCGCTTCCGGGGCGGGGCACCGAATGGACGGAAGCACACTGGCAAGCCCCGTGCATCGGGGAAATGTTGGTGTATTTTACCAAAACAATGTGGGACAATCGGCTGTGACATATTGCAATAAGATAACCAGCGCAGTGACTAGCCCATGATGTAACTGGTGAATAACAAACATGCGAATGAGTACCGAAAGACATTTTCAAACCTAATCTCAGAAAAACATCACAGCCGCTAAGGAGCGCCGCTCGCTGACCAGCGAGAGCTAGCCTACCGCGGGCTATTAGGCGGCCGGTTCTCCTACCTGGCCACCGCTGCACATGGCAGGCCCTCCTACCTGGCCACTGCTGCAAACGGTCGGCACTCCTACCTGGCCACCGCTGCACATGGCAGACCCCCCCCCCCCCCCCGCCCCCTGGCCATCGCTGCACATGGCCAGCACTCCTACCTGGTCATCGCTGCACGCCCCCCTCCCCCTCCACCTGGCCACCGCTGCACGTGGCCGGCGGTCTTACCTGGCCACTGCTGCACGGCAGGCCGTTCTGTTTGTGCACGTCGTTGGGGCAGAACTCCGAGTCGCCCGTGCAGTACTCGGAGAGGTCACACTCGTGGCCAGCATCGCGGCACCGCGTCCCCGCCTTCTTCGGCCGGCACACCTGCATGTGAGGTCAAGTTAGGTCACACTCGTGGTTAATACCGCGCCCCGGCCTTCTTCGGCCCATAACCTGCATATCAGATAAGGTCAGGTCAGGTCAGGTCACACTTGTGGTCAACACCGCACCCCAGCCTTCTCAAGTCTGCGCACCTGTAAGCCAGGTCGGTCATCCTTTCAACAATACTTTGACACATCACGCTGGGGTTCACACCGGCCGGCCAGGCCGGTCAGGCCCGTCGAGCCAGGTCAAGTGTTTAGGCCGGGTCACATATTTAGGCCACAGCAGCTCAAGCCAGGTAACTTGTTCAAGCTAGACCAGCTCAAGCCAGGTCACATGCTCAGACCAGACCAGGTCCGGTAGGTGTCTGGCTAGCTCGAGTCAGACCAGTCCATACCACACCAGATCAGGCCAGGACAGGCCCGGTCAGCTCAGACCAGGTGACACCAGGCCATGTCAGGCTCCGCTGACAACAAAAGTAGCGCCAGTCCTTCACAGCACAGCACTGTTAGCTGAGGGCAGCACAGGTGGCAGCCCAGAGGGCGCCATCAAGGCATGCGCGCGGCGAGCCAACGACAGGTTACAGAGCTGAGCGGAACCAACTGAATCACCCGAACCTTTTGACAACCGCCCAAACCTGCGACAGTGCAGGACCTGGCGTGTTCAGTGTTGGCGCACCAGCCGCCACCCACCGTGAGGTCACAGCACTGTCCGGTGTCACTTCACACCCGCCCCGCCGTCCCCCCCCCCTCCCACCGTGAGGTCGCAGCACTGTCCGGTGTCACTTCCCACGCCCCCCCCCCCCCCCCACCGTGAGGTCACAACACTGTCCGGTGTCACTTCACACTCCCCCCCCCCCCCACTGTAAGATCACAGCACTGTCCGGTGTCACTTCACACCCGCCCCCTCCCCCCCACCACGAGATCACAGCACTGTCCGGTGTCACTTCACACCCTCCCCCCCCCCCCAAACCACGAGATCATAGCACTGTCCGGTGTCACTGCCCACCCCGCTTCCGTCACCCACCGTGAGGTCGCAGCACTGGCCGGTGCCGCAGGCGGCGCCGTCGCGCAGCATGCAGGTGGAGGCGTCGCAGCAGCGATTCTCGCAGGCGTGTGGCAGACCGCAGTCGCACTGTTCGCCCGGCTCCACGAACCCGTTCCCGCACACCGGAGACTCGTACAGGCTGACGGACGGGGGCGGGGCTGTCACGTGGCGAAGGGGGGGGGGGGGGGTCACGGTCGCGGGGCACGTGTCACGGAGCTTGTTTCCTCATAGGTAACGGGACAAGACCAGTTGGACCAGTCGGAGCAAGAGCCGCCGGCCGTCACCGGCTCTGGCAGACGGAGCGAGAGAGAAGCGCCTGTCGGTGCCGACCCACCCCGGACCATCTCACCTCGCCGGCTTGTTGCGCAGACAGTAGTCCATGCCGTGGCCGAACGCCTGCGTCAGGTAGTTGAGGCTGCACTGGCTCCAGTGGGTGGGACTCACCGAGCTGAGGAGCACACGGCTCGCGGTCACACCACATCAGCGGCCGGCGCAGGCGCCTCGCCGCACAGGCCGCCCATGGCCACCCACGCCTGCCAAAGGTCGCTCTGTGGCAGGGGCGGTGCGCTACACCGTCGCTACCGGCTTTCACTCAGCCACATGATAGCACATGAACCCCACGGGAGCCGTGGTCCGTAGACACGACGTCAGGACATCCGTCATACCCCGAATAGGTGAGGCACGAGACATGCGGAAGCGTCCGGCCAGTGGTGGGCTGCCGTCCCAGCGACATCTGTGAGAGGCCGCAAGGCCGGACCGTCCGCGCAGGACCTGCGGTGCTCAGCCTTCACGGCGACACCCGGACGCGGCTGGCCGCCGGCTCACCTCGACGACGGTGACATGATGCAGCGCTGCTCCTCGCATGCGCAGTCGTCCGTGTCGTGCTCCATGCCGAAGTTGTGGCCCATCTCGTGCGCCACGGTGGTCGCCACCAGCGACACCTGACGGAGGGGCGCGCGCGCGCGCGGCTGTCACAGCGGACGGGACGGCGGGTGGCGGCGCGGCGGTGTTCGCCGTATCATGCAAAAACGTGCCCACAGTTTCACACGCCGCTGCCCCCCCCCCCCCCCCCCCCCCCCGAGGCGCCGACCGCTGTCCCCGACACGGTCGCCACTGTCTCGGACAGTGCGCTCGCTTCACTGTCCCCGAGGCGGCGTTCACAGTTCACGACACGGTATTGGTCTTGGCTAGTGTTGTCCGATAGTGCCTTTGTCATGGTTAGTGTTCACAGCCCTAATAGGGCGTTTGTCTTGGCTGGTGTTCACAGCCTCTGATAATGTGTTTGTCTTGACTAGTGTTCACAGTCCCGAGAGTCTTTGTCTTGACTAGTGTTCACAGCCCTAATAGGGCGTTTGTCTTGGCTGGTGTTCACAGCCTTGATAATGTGTTTGTCTTGACTAGTGTTCACAGTCCCGATAGTCTTTGTCTTGACTAGTGTTCGCAGCCCTAATAGGGCGTTTGTTTTGGCTGGTGTTCACAGCCCCGATAGTGTTTGTCTTGGCTAGTGTTCATGGTCTCGGACAAGGCCTTCGACACCCCGCACACGGTATTTCCCGTTCCAGTCAGGAGCTACTACATACACGATGATCACAGAGTCTGCTGCCGACAACACAGTGACTGCGCTGCTGCCCCCGGCAGCCGGAGCTGACAGCATGTGACACGGGGCCAGTCCCGGCCCCGTCCAATCCCGGAACTGCGTCGCCTGGTCCGGGAGACAGGCCATTCCCCGCCCACCCCGCCCCAGCATGATCCCGGAACTACACTGCCTAGTCCGGGACATAATGTCAGTCCCCGTCCCGTCCGATCCCGGAGCCACACTGTCTGGTCTGGGAAACAGGGCCAGTATCCGCCCTGCACAGCATGTTTCCGGAGCTACACTGTCTGGTCCGGGAGACAGAGCCAGTCTCCGCCCCGCACAGCATGTTTCCGGAGCTACACTGTCTGGTCCGGGAGACAGAGCCAGTCTCCGCCCCGCACAGCATGTTTCCGGAGTTACACTGTCTGGTCCGGGAGACAGAGCCAGTCTCCGCCCCGCACAGCACGACCCCGGAGCTACACTGCCCGGTCCGGGATACAGGGCCAGTCCTCGCCCCGCCCCAGCATGATCCCGGAGCTCCACTGTCTGGTCCGGGACCTCGCCGCCTTACCACGTCACGCAGCGCCTGACAGGGATGAAGCGCAAGTCACCTCCCGAGCACGTCCCTGCCGCATGGCCCGGACGGGGGGGGGGGGGGGCGCACCTGTTTGGAGTGGTCCATGTTGACTCCGCCGCTGAACTCGAAGGTGCAGATGGGGCCCTTCAGAGCTTTGCCGACCACGCCTCCTTGAAACGAGATGCCCCTGCAGCCAAACCCATCAGCGAGTTAGCGGAGCCCCACAGGGCGGCTACCACTGGATGATCTCGCAGGAAACCTGAATTGACCAAACACCGGGGCCTTTCTGCGCCCCCCTGTAACGCCTCGCGCCAGAGCGCCCCCGTTCACAGCGTGTACATGGAAATGTGGTTGGGGAAGGAGTATGGTGAATGTCCGAAGACCTGACAGCTACCACGGTGGAGACTGAAAGCTCCAGCCAGGAGGTACATCAGCCAAAAACGTACTTCTCACGTGACCATGTTTCCACAGAGCTCAAAATAACACACACGTTTTTGCTCGCGGCGGTACCCTGACCTTGTGACGGACACCGTGGCCGGTGTGGGCCGATCTCGGCAGTCACAGAAATGTGAACTATCCTCGCCCCCGCCGCGTCCTTCAAGAGCTCACGGCAAGTCCCGTGGGCAACAAAGGGCCCATACTTTCGCTCCCGTCGTAAAACTGGTCTTGACACACGTCCTCGAAGAGGCCTAACAACCATCGTCATTACACGGCCAATACCACTATGGGCTGGAGCTCATGCTGGGAGGCGGGGGTCATCAGGAGCTCTGCTGTTTGAAAAATTGATGACCCTAGGTCAATTCCTTCGATGATAAATTCAGTCACGTGTGCTGCTGCAATTCGCCAGAATACGGACCTTCGCCGTCGCGATCTCAAGTAATGTAAAAGACAGGACCACCCAATTGACAGTAAAAGATGTCACCGTTGGTTATGCCGTGGCACAGTTTGATGACAGATGTCGCTGCTGGTTATGTTGTGACACAGTTTGACGACAGACGTCACTGTTGGTTATGTTGCGGCAGTTTGATGACAGACGTCGCTGCTGGTTATGTTGTGGAGCAGTTTGATGACAGACGTCACTACTGGTTATGTTGTGGCGCGGTTTGATGGCACACGTCAGCTACTGGTTATGTTGTGGCACAGTTTGATGGCAGACGTCGCTGTTGGTTATGTTGTGGCACAGTTTGATGACAGACGCCACTGTTGGTTATGCCGTGACACAGCTTGATAACAGACGTCACCACTGGTTATGTTGTGGCACAGTTTAATGACAGAGGTCACTGCTGAATATCCTGTAACACAGTTTGATGACAGGTCAATTCTTTCCACGTCAAATAATGCCACTGTGTTGGAATGAGTTCCGTTTGTCCACTTCCATGTGCCGTTATCGACCGTTCATCTGACCTTTAAGGCAGAGGGGTCGAAAACGAAAACGAAACTTTCAATCACGCGAATACGATGTGGAATCTTGGAGCTAAAATGTCTGTCCGGCAACAGCCAGCCAGTGAAGGGATACCGGGACAGAACACGCTGCCCAGGCCACATCCCTGAGTCAGCCAGTAAAGGGATAACGGGACAGAACACGTTGTCCAGGTCACATCCCTAAGTCAGCCAGTGAAGGGTAACGGGATAGAACACTCTGTCCAGGTCACATCCCTAAATCAGTTAGTGAAGGATAACGGGACTGAACACACCGTCCAGGTCACATCCCTAAATCAGTCAGTGAATGGATACCGGGACAGAACACGCTGTCCATCCCATATCCCTGTATCAGCCAGTGAAGGGATAACGGAAAAGAACACGCTGTTCAGGTCGCATCCTGAAATCAGTCAGTGAAGGATAACGGGACTGAACACGCTGTCCAGGTCACATCCCTAAATCAGCCAGTGAAGGGCTGCCGGGACAGAACACGCTGCTCAGGCCACATCCCTGAGCCAGCCAGTGAAGGGATACCGGGACAGAACACGCTGTCCAGGCCACATCCCTGAGCCAGCCAGCGAAAGATAATGGGACTGAACACGCTGTCCAGGCCATATCTCTAATACAAATGCTTCGTTTCGCCGCGACTCCATATCAGCAAACGGACAATGCGCTCCGAATCCGTGAACGTGCCCACTATTGCTGATCGTTTGTATGCAATGTGTCGATATAATTCATGGATTGGCGATATGCTGGACGCTCCACACGTTGTAAAATGCGAAAATCCAAACATCAGCAAACCAAACGCACACCCGTAGCCGTCAAATCACACAAATAGTCTGCAGGTGTAAGTATTTCTACATCAGATACTGGGTATCATCGAGTTATCAAAGCCACAAAGGCACATTTCGATGACAGTGAATGTACTGCAGTGGAGCACGGTGAGAAAAGCCGGGCATTTATGTGGACTGCGAAATCGGAGGCGTGTTGTATGAAGTCTTTCCTTCTTGGGGGTCGCAACAACAATGGGCTTTCGGTGGTCGCGACAAAATTAAACCTGAGTTTAACGAAGGATTCGGCATCTCCAGTTACTTAGCGTCACAATCCGTCTCTTCCACTGCCGCGGCGTGGCGAATAAGCAGGGTGACGTCCAGGCTCGAGCTCGCTTTCCGCACACACGGCCGTGGATGAACGGCCCGCAGCAGCGCCAGACCATCCACGTTTTGGCCGTTCCACATTTCTCAAAGTACAATCAACGAAGCCTCTTAAGCTAAATTCAGAACCATATTTACGGTGCATTCCACCCACCCTGCCCCTAGCACTAAACCCAGCGCAAAACATGCAATGCTCAGAAACAAACGCTTATCGCAAGAACATAGCGACCAACCCTCAACCAAACTCCACCCCATTCTGGCTCTGAATCAGACCGAGCGACCCGTCATCGAGCGCCGTCTGCTATTCGCGACGCGACGTGTGCACCGCCCTGACCATGAGTCCAGCGGGAGCAGCGGGGCGGCCGTGCTTACCGCAGCGTAAACAGACGGGCCGACGACAGCCGGACGCGACTCGGCCCGGCCGCGGAGAAAGGTGCGGCCAGCCGGCACGGCCACGGTCGGACCGGCCGCTCACGCTCAACCCCGACTGTGGACGGCTCGTATGCGGCTTTGAAAGACGCGCGCGTGATTCAGACTGGGGTGACGCTCTCCTCGCTCGAACTCTAAGCTGTACTTGACTGGGCTGGAGCAAGGTCTGTTTTTAGGATTAAGCCAGAGCCTTTTCACTGGATGGATTTGCGGTTCAGCAGTGCCGCTCAACAATGCCTGTTGCGTAAGCCATCAGTCCACTGCACGATCGGGGAAGTCTCGGATGACGGCACAATTCTGATGTAGCAAGCTTTATGCGGTGCAGTGCCCGGCACGGTTCATCCCACCCTCTGACGTCACCTGACCCTTAGCGGAGCTGCTGCCGCCGGTTACGGGCCTCCCCAGTCAGCAGCAATAGTGAGCTCCGAGAACGACTCGAAACAACATTGCCACGGACGGGGGCGTCGGGAAGGCAGGCGCCGCAACCAACTGAGCCATCGGAACGGACTGCCCATGTGACCAGCCACGGACCATGTAACGTAAAGAATCACTGGCACATCACAGCTGATACCGGTGGTCGGCTGGGGCAGACTTCATACGGAGGCGACAAAGGGACGATCACGTAGCCCGCGATGACGTCACTCAAACATGGCGAACCAAAACGTCGGCATCGATCGCTCGCAGCATGGTGCAAACATTTGACAGTGTTGACTAACCAACCCCAAAGCGGCCTTGCCAACGCCGAGCCGAAGCCCTGTGTCTGGCAGTACTGACTAACCAACCGTATGGTGGCATCTGCCAGTGTTGCCTAACCAACTGTGAAAAGGCATCTAACAGTGTTGGCAAACCAACCGTGAAGTGGCCTCTGACAGTGTTGACAAACCAGCCCCGAAGTGGCTTCCGAGCCAGCCGACCACCGAGAAGTGGCCTACGCCGAGCCGCAGCCGTGTGACGCCTCTGATTTCAGTGAGCCCTGACGTTGGCCGGCGCCGGGCACGGTCTCCCCTGGCAGCGGCCGGCCGGGAGTGCGCAGCTGATCGGCAGCCGTCCCAGCCCGGCCCACACGCCGGCGCCCCGCCGTCCGTGCGGTTCGGTGCGCTCGCCACCCACAGAGGCAGAGCAGCTCTCAGCGCGGCGCTCCGCTGCGACGGTCGAGACAGTCGAACTGCGCGGCCGCCGCGAGATAGCAGTCACGCCGCCTGACCGCGCACTGTCAACCAACCCGCGGCACATGTGCACAGACGCCCCACGTGGCCGTGCCGCAGCGCGAGTAGGCGACGCGCTGTCGGGCAGATCTTGCTGAGCGGACAGACGGCCTTTTCCCCCGATCATTGGCCAGTGATCGCATCACCAGCACACTCGCACTGCGGCGACATAGCACGGCCCGCTGGCCCCAGCTGAACGCAGTCCCACCATATATATAGCCCGCTCGCCGTCGGCCGAGCACAAGTCGACGCCCACTCACACCGCCCGTTCGTCCCGGGTTGAAAAAAGCCGTCATGACAGGCACGGGCGAGCACGTAATGTACGAGCACCCGGCTACCGTCACGCAAAGAAGCACCTGTTACGTCATCTGCACGTCACGTGCTCATGAAATACAGCTCCGAGAGTGGAGGGGTATGTATGCTCACTGCGTGGACCAGGCGCACTTTGCCGCAAAGGTCGCTGTATCCCCGGAAGCGTTCTCTACACGGACGCCCGCAGGTGGCCGGCACGAGCGGTTCTCTGAACAGGTTTAGTGCCGGCTGACCCCGCCTGCCGGCCTGCCGGACCGAAACCGAGCGCCATGCACTGACCAAACTGGGCCCGGCACTGCTGCGCTCGACACACGCCGACCCGAATCGGCAACGTAACGGAACATGCCGAGCGGCCACTCAGCACCTTTCAAGGGAAGGGTGGTGGGAAGTTCACAGCTTACAGAGGGGGAAGCTCACAGCTCACAGAGGTACTGAACCGGCCAATACACGATGACGTCGAAAAAGTAAGTCCGTACTTCCTTCAGCCATGGAGAGCCTGAGACGGCAACGTGTCGACATAGCCGACTGTCGCAGTGAAAGTCCTGATGCACTTAAGTCATCAGTATTAATTAGCGGTCTGTTTGTTGACGCACGTAATCACTCATTAGTAACACAGCACGGTGGGCAGCTAAATCAACAAGCGGACACAGCGCGACACGACCGCACCAGAGGACGGACGGCGGACCCCCGGCAGGCACGACCGCACCAGAGGACGGACAGCGGACCCCCGGCAGATACGACCGCACCAGAGGACGGACAGCAGACCCCCGGCAGACGCGACCGCACCAGAGGACGGACAGCGGACCCCCGGCAGACACGACCGCACCAGAGGACGGACAGCGGACCCCCGGCAGGACACGACCGCACCAGAGGACGGACAGCGGACCCCCGCAGACACGACCGCACCAGAGGACGGGACAGCGGATCCCCGGCAGACACGACCGCACCAGAGACGGACAGCGGATCCCCGGCAGACACGACCGCACCAGAGGACGGACAGCGGACCCCCGGCAGGCACGACCGCACCACAGGACGGACAGCGGACCCCCGGCAGACACGACCACACCAGAGGACGGACAGCGGACCCCCGGCGGACACGACCGCACCAGAGGACGGACAGCGGATTTCCGGCCGGCACGACCGCATCAGAGGACGGACAGCGGACCCCCGGCAGACAAGACCGCACCAGAGGACGGACAGCGGACCCCCGGCAGACACGACTGCATCAGAGGACGGACAGCGGACCTCCGGTAAGTTGCTCGTGAACGCCAGATAACTTCGAACCCTATATCCGGTATGTGGCTGTGCATATCAAGAATAGTGCAAATACGTTGAAATTTCTCAGTCAAACTCGTAATCATGGTTTAGCTGAAAATGACACGGTCGATTCCAATTGCTATTAATCTTTACGGCTGCGCCAAGTCGTGCAAACACCAGTTACTCCAAAATAAACATGCTTCAAGCCTTCACGCACCACACAGCTTCAGATGTGCCCCTGTAGCTAACAAAGCATGCAAAAATAACGGCAGTCCCCGCTCAAAGCATAGCAACTCCATGAGCCCTTGGTGACGATGAATCAGAGCAAACACAACAAGCAGCAATTAGCCAGCTGCGCTGGGAGCAAGGCGAACGAGTCCGACTCTGGCTGGAGACTTACGTCAACAACTGGTCAACCACGTCCGACTCTGACTGCACACTTACGTCAACAGCTGGTCGGCCGCGTCCGACTCTGGCCGCAGACTAAGGTCAACAGCTGGTCGGCCGCGTCCGACTCTGGCCGCAGACTAAGGTCAACAGCTGGTCGGCCGCGTCCGACTCTGGCCGCAGACTAAGGTCAACAGCTGGTCGGCCGCGTCCGACTCTGGCTGGAGACTTACGTCAACAGCTGGTCAGCCACGTCCGACTCTAGCTGCAGACTTACGTCAACAGCTGGGCGTTGTCATTGGGCATGGCGGTGGCCAGCCGCTTGCGTCGGTAGTGCAGGAAGCTCGTGAGCGTGGTGTCGCCGTTCTCCGAGAGCGTGATCTCGTCAAACTCGGTCCACACCTCGACGCCGACCAGCGCCACGAAGATGTTGAGCGGCGCGTACAGCTGCCGGCACCACAACCGCGTCACGGGCCGAGTCACGGGTCAACACGGGTCAACACGGGTCATCACGGGTCAACCGCGTCACGGGCCGCACTCGCGGAGGGCAATCGGACACGACGCGGCGCCCCCTGGTCCCAGACTGTGTGCGTGTCTGTGCTGCGGTCCCGTGAGAACACCGTTAACCCGTACATGCGCAATACATGGTCACAAAGACCGACTTTGCACCACAGCCACTGTGAAAAAGGGAAAATCACCGCTCCACAGCTACTAAACTACTTCATTTTGCACTGTCGTACAGGAATGACTGACTATCAGACCCCCCCCCCCCCCCCCCCCAGGTCTTTCTCTTCATCAGCTCGCCTCTCGCGCGGCCTGGTGCACCTCCGGGGTCACTCACCGAGTTGACGATGTTGGCGATCTGCTTGGTGCGATGCACGGTGGCCTTGAGATCAGTCGTCGTGCTCGTGGAACACCTCCTGGTCCACCACCAGCACCAGCTCGACGTAACGTGACTTGCGGTTGGCGTTGTACGGCCCGCGCGGCGCCGTCTCCCGCTTGATCTGTCGGCGATGCGACCGGTCAGCGGAGGGAAGCGAACCTGTACACACGCCGAGACAAGACCCGCGCAGCACCGACGCAAGACCTCAGTCCCTTCGCAAGGTCACTTGTGTTTTTGTCGCGCCTCAAGTGAACCGAAACTCAAGCGTGTGTATCCTGAATAACACTTCACCGCGAAGACAGCGACATGCATCTCAGGAGGGGAGGGAGACCGAAACGGCATAGCACGCGTGATCTCCGCCGTATTTCGCTATGACCAGCATGCAGGCACTGAGCACGACGGCGTGTCGGCCCCGGGTGGACACGGCTCGGACGCCAGCCCGGTAGGTCCAGTCGGACGCGCGTCCGGCCTGCTCACCCTGTGCGCTGCGTGACCCGCCGCATGGGGCCGATGCCCCGCGGGCCCGGCGACGCCGCAGGTCCGGTTCTGAATCAGATCGTCCTCCCGGTACAAATAATGTTGTCCATCCGCACCCGGCGACACGAACAGCGTCCGATTCCCATCGAACACAAGACCGCTGTAAACACGAAAACGTTCACATACCACGCGCGAGGCGTATGGGAGTGACCTAGCCGTCCCTGGTACCGATCGCTTCTCCGGTGTCTCACGACGATCAATGAAACGGCAAAAACACTAACTGCACTAAACTCGAATGTCGTTGTTAGTACGCCGATACCATAAATGGCCAATTTGAAGAAGCGACACGTGACGCCGAAAATATATCCAAGCACGTGAGAAGCATGAGCGTCATCAGACCCCACACACCTAATTCCATCGCAGGTAGACAGGGCGACTGAGGAGACTTCGCTGCCACGAACCAAGCCTGAGTAATAGCAGTTGTCATCCTCCTGCAATCAAAACGCATTCTGCGTCAGACTCTAGCCCTGACGAATGGAGACTCTGGCCCCCACGAGTCGTGGCCAAAATCGGGTTATCCAAGCAAGCATGCGGAGCTGAAATGGCACCGTGTCAGTGGAGTGATCAAGATTTGACCCCCGGGCGGGGGGAGGGGGTACATCGGGTCTTGAGGGCCTTCAACGAAACGGGCACTTCCTAAGGGCTCTTCCTAAGGGCTCTTTTTCATTCGAAGGTCTTCCTCGATTCGGGATCCTGTTTCGGTGCGTCGGGAGCTGCTTTTTGTGTTTTAATATTCCCACGAGCGTTTTAAAATGACAAAAAGCAGAAGGGGCCCCGCGACGTCCACGAAGGGAGGAGGTGGGAGGGGAGGATGAAGACACGACACCAAAAGCCCTCCTCTCCCATGCCACGGGTTATTGACCCCAGTATTTCGCCACATCGTGATCAGGGTTTACGGAATGAGTCTCCGCGTCGTAACAATGTCCACAACTACGGGCGGTAACCACGTACGGCTTGGTGGGACAACGCAAGCAGATACAATAAAAAACATTCTCACGATTAATGCCCGCTTGTCAGACACAAGAGTCCCGTTGCGTTGATACCGCAGGAGGGCATTCCTGCTCACCACGTGCCTGGAAGAAACAAAACCATCACATCAATAGGATGCAGTGTTGAAACAAGTCTTACACGATTGACGGTTGCATGGGTTGAGTCCAGGCATTGATACAGCATTATTTCTCACCTATTCAACTGGAGATCAAGAAGGTAGTCCCTACCAAGAGCCTCAAACGCTATTGTAACACCAGGCACATGTCCATTCTGAAAACAAGAAATGATGATCATAAAATCAGCAGTGTCCATGCACCAACATCAATGCAGACAGTATGCAAATGTCACCAGACATATGCCTGGATCCAACTGAAATACGGCAGATCCAACAGAAATCTTCAACGAAAATAGCAGTCCACGTTCTGAAGGTTCCTTTCACAAAATTAGGAACTCTGAATCTCAAAGGATTACTTGACAAATTTTCAGAACAGACCCCCAATCGCATAGACTCTTGAACATATTAGCAAATGTACCCTGATCCCGAAAGACCTGGGATCGAGGATTCCCAGATCTGATCCTTACCATCCATATCTGGGATCTGCGCACATGTCTGACGCTGCATACATAATTGTCCCATAATGCAATTTTTTCTTTTGAACCTTGGATATTTCATTACTTCAGCAGAATGAACCGCAAAAAAACACTAATTCATTCAGTTACAAACTACTTACCCGCTCCTTTGTTGATGATATATCTCTCTTACTCCGACCATGAATAATCTTGGGCTTTATCACAGCGTGCGACTTGAAACTTGGATCAGGTGTATTGCCTGATAAGCAGTCATGGTAACATCATCAACACAGGGTTCCGAATATGCGTCTACGTCTATAAACCTGCAAGTCACTATCGTATTCATCCACCATGCATAATGGTGTTAAGTGGGGTGACAATACCAAATCGGAAGCTATCTTTCTATAGCACTTGTCCAGTGCAGCCAATGTGTGTGATAAAACACCAGTGAAAAAAACACCGAAGTCTTCATGGGCGGCTGAGGGACGCCCGCTGTAGCTAGCACCAAACAGCGTCCAGCGCACGGGCCAAAGCGGTACTATGTATGATATATGATATATGATATATATGATATATGATACTTTATATGATACAAAGCGATATTTCGGGAAATAACGCCTCCAAATTATTTGCGAATTAAATTCTCACGATCATCAGGTGTACTGGGACGCAGATTTCACCAGTACAACTTTCAGGCCGGTCTTTCATTTAACTTGATAACTACAACATTAACAATATGCCGCACTGAAATCTGAACTGTTTGTGCCTGTGGTCTTTAACCGCCAATCTGTTCCGATTATCACTCTGAAAATTGCTCGGGTAAAATCAACGGTCCGGGCAGCCCTGCGCGCGTGAGAACTGACTTCGTAGTTTGATATCTAGCGGCGTCCGGGGTTTCCCAAACTGTCGCAAGCTTTAATACTATAACCATAGAAAACTATGGGACACTATGTGAAAAGTAGGACCTTAAGCTCAAAACAGGCAACTCGGGTGAGCGCATGGGACTCTCAGCCATACATTTTTCTGTCCAGTTTTGAGCTTGGCAACACCATGAACAGCACAGATTCCAGGGCCATCGCAGATTTTTGTGTTTCTGAACACGTTAATCCGTTCAGAGGAGCGACCTGAAAACCGCACAGGTGAGCCCAGAATATCCGAGACCGTAGGATTGAATCGGTTTCACCATATGGAAGCATTCTTTCTCGATTCACCCTGTTTTTCGGCCACCCGGCACTCAGTGTTTGCTGCCGCATCCAAAGCCAGCAGCCTATGGAAACCGCAACGCCGAGCCACAAAGGTTTTGCATCCAAAGATTGACATCGGGCGCACTTGTATGTTGCACAAATGGCCTGCCATTTCTATTTGCTATTGCTTTATATACTGGTGCAACTGGACAACATGACCATAAAACAAGCTAATTCAGTAGTTGCTGGCAGAATTGGATGTCATGACTGTAAAACAACTAATTGAATAGCTCAATGTCAGATAATGTATTGTTTGATGATCGGAACAGCGTTTCATATCTAGACTCCATAAAAGACAGCAAGCAATGATTCTTTGGTTCCACATTGTCTTTTCACATTTTGCACATCTCATTGGTTGACACTGCAACATTGCATGGAAGCTGATAGCCCTTTTGAGTCAGATGGTGCATATCCAATGAAGTGACACTGCAATATTGCATGGGAACTGATGTGTTGCAAGCAAGTGATAGATTACAGCAGCATGGAGGTTATTTGACATGGTCTCACAACTATGAACCACCCATGATGGGAGTGGGATAGCTGATAATCAGAAAATTTATATCCAATCACTTGTGCAATCCGTCATCAATCGTCCGTCCGGTAGCTCAGTTGGTTAGAGCGCCTGCCTTCCGATCCACCCACCCGTGGCGGGGTGGGTTCGAGTCGCTTTAGGGCGCTCGCTACTTGTCCTTGACAGGTATGGCCTGCGGTCGGTGGCAGCGGTCGCGCTAAAGGTCAGTTGACGTCAGAGGGCAGGACGGACCGTGCCGAGCATTGCGGCACGTTAAGCTTTCGCCACCAAACTCTGCCGTTGACATGGAATTGCGCGATCGGATGGTAGGGGTCAGGGCTCACACAACAAGCACTGCTTAGGGTGAGCTCTGATCCCAGAAATCCATCCATTCAAAGGGTTCGGATCAAATCTTTAAAAAAAAATCCAACAATATTTTAACAAGACCTTTAGACAGAAAAAGCTTCAGTTGCTTATGTGATAAATATCATAAGTACAGTGATAGAAAGAGTATGCAAAAAGCACAACACATTATGGCACAATGTACAGTTTCTGTAATCAGCCAATGCATCATGAACAGCTGATACTCATAAATTGAACAGGACTTCACATCCCACTGAACTCCTCACCACAAATATGATGCATTCTTTGTAGTGGGTGATACAAAAGTGAGGATGCAGGCAAACTTGATACCAATGAGATTGATGTAGAGTTAAAACATACCTTTAAAAGTCCATGATCCAGCACATGACTGGCACAGCCAGACAAGGGATAGCAGATGCAACACTTCATATGCAATCATTTGATGACTTATCAGTTGCTTAAACTATGAAAAGCCTCTATGAACAGTGCATGACCATAAAGCAACTCCTCTTCATGTAAACAACACCCTGAAATGGAAGAATGCAGATTTGTAACAAATGTGTGCACTTTGACCATCTATGCTATATATTGGTGGGAATAATATCCATATGCCATTAAAATCATTAAAATAGCCATACCACATGGTCAGACAGCTTTGCAATGTCACCAGATGTGACAGGAAGGAACCATACCTATTTTACAGGGGCTGTTGGGAATGCTGCTGAACCTCCAAACTGCTAAACTGCTGCATAAGGGCCTAAATACAACCCCAACATAAAGACCCTGCTGTTGGCCAGCATCAGCTGGCTCACGACTGAGTGGCAGCTGGCTCCAGCATTCCCTGCATTTCACATCATAGAGAGGGAGGGGAGCAGGGTACACAGGGTGGCTGCATGATAGCAGGAC